CAAGTCACGAGGCAAGTTCAATCAANATCCGAGAAAACTATAATTTGAATACTTATACTTGGGTGTATGATATAAAGCAAGTCACGAGGCAGGTTGAATCAACCGTAATGAGGATTCCGAACAAGAAGAAATGCAGGAGGAATTAGTGATGGATGACTCTGATGATGATAATGGCGTTGGTAATTATGTTGAGCCTGAGGGTGAGGTTTGTATGCACGAGCCCAATACATCGCCAATCAATAGACCCATGAGATCAGGTCGAGGTGGAATAATCGATGAGGTGTCAGATCTACATTTAGATCTCGAATGAAGTGTGATATGCAAATATAAATGTTAATGTGTTGATTTATATTTGTTGATTGAGATGCTTTATGATACTTGACTTATTCAGTATTGAATGCCCCTAAGCATATTGTATACTTTTCTGCGTTATTTAATATTTTTAGGTTGATTTTAGAGGAATGATCAGAATGAAATAATTAGAGTATTAAAGATGAGAAGATGTCAATATAATTGTTGTTTTATTTGTATTGGGAGATAATATTGATAAATGTTATTTGATTGGGATAAATAGAGCTCTGTTTATTTTCACTTGGATGTATTTAATGAATTAACGTCATCGAAAGACCGGGGCGTTGCATCTTGTCTTTGGGAAGAAAAAAATTTGGAAATGGTAGTGAAATTGTGTTCATTTAAGATGTATCAACAGTATGTTGTTGTGGATATAAATAAAAAAAGATAGGTTTTGAAGTGTAAAATGCATCAAGAATGTGGATGCAGGCGAAGGCTATATGCATGGTTTAGGGCCAAGCACGGAATGTTTGAGATCACAAAGTATGAAGGACCTCACACTTATTTCTACCCAAGGATGAACCAAGACCACTGTTAGCTTGATATGAAATTTATGTCTTAGTGGATTGAGGGTTTTTTTGGGCTACACATGAAATAACTATTCATATTATTATAGAAATGGTGAAAAAATAATATCTATATTTAATAATGCACAAGAAGGCATGACATGCTAAGAAGAATGCCATAACAAAAGTTTTTGGTTACTGGGATTCTTTTTATAACATATTCCCCAAGTTTATGGATGCTCTTGTAAAATACAACTTAGGGACGATTGTAAGATGGCAATACAATGAACACATTGCCAACATAGTAATATTTAGCGAAGTGTTATGGGCTTTCAAGGTTTTCATTGATAGATTTGCTCATTGTCGATCTGTAATTTGTATTGATGCCACCTTTGTAAATGAAAAATATAAGTATAAGCTTCTGATTGCTATAGTTATTGATGCTCATAAACAAATATTTATTCTTGCATTTGGAATCGTAGATGAGTCATCTTCAGAACTTTGTTGTGCTAAATAGATAAGGTTTATATTTACTATCAGATCAGCATAAAGGTATAATCTCACAGGTGAATCAAGTTGATTCTGGGTGGAATAAGCTAGATGATTATCACCAATTCTACCTTAGACATGTATAGAATAATTTTAATAGCAGGTTCAGGTATACTTACCTAAAGGATCTTGAATGGATGGATGGGTCAACATGTTAGATTTAGAAGTTTAATTTGAGAATGGAAGAATTGAAAAATGCTAGTGCTGAAGCGTGGGCGTGGTTGAATAAGATTCTAGCACAACAGTGGACACTTGCCCATGATTGTGGCCAATGGCATGGAACTACTAGAATCAATATTTTTGAGGCGTTCAATGGTGCACTAAAAGGTGCAAGGATGCTTCTCATTACTAAATGTGTGAAATTTATATTTTATCAGCTTGCAAAATACTTTTGTGGGCGACGTGAGCACACACTACATTGCAAAGAGAAGGGTATGAAGTTCTCACATGATGTAATCAAATTTATGTGACCAAACCAAACTAAGGCAGCAGTGTGTGTTGTTACACCATTTCACATACAACAGGAACTTGCAAAGGTGGTGACAATGAAGGGTAATACACAGGTTGTGTGTATTAATGAGCATTCATGCACTTTTGGGAAGTTCGCCATTCATAAAATGCCTTGTTCTCATGTAATGGATGCTTGTTCTAATTTCCATGTCAGTTCTTGGAATTTAATAGATCTAGTGTTTAGCATCCATACACTTGAGTCAACTTGGGCACCTGAAACTTCAACCTTTGCATCACCAAGACTAGTAGGATAATGTCCTTGGCCCTACATTATGCCTTAATATGGTGTTGGGATGAGGACGTAAAGGTTGCCCAAAGACATTGTGTATACACAATGAAATGGACTTCCCGAGAGAAGGGCATTAAATTAAACGCTCTGAGATTTATTTGCAGTCAGGCCACGATTGTTGAACTTGTCCAACAAAGAACCAATTAGCTTCTGCAATGGATTATCCATTCTAAATGTTTCTATCCGCCAAAAATTTTATGTTGAACTTAGGATGGACACTTTATGAAATGTGTAATAAATTTTGTGTTGGATTTATTACTACTTGTTACGCTTTATGAAATGTGTAATAATTTTTTTGCTAGATTAATTACTACTTGTTTGACTTAAAATGTTTACAATTGAAGGTTATTTTGTTTGGTCATGTAGGTTGTGAAAATGGATCATGATCTGTGAGCATTAGTACATCCTGGCTGGAGGATGCATCTGTACTCTTCTCATAGTGTGACAATCACATAGAGGCGATTTGGGAGGGTGTTGAGTTCCCACCATTACACTACAAACGCTTTGAGGCCCCACTTCATTGAGTGAGCATCATTGATCCCCGGGATATCCACCATCTACGCACAATAGAATTTTATGGTGCCTATCAACGTAGGTGTATCTAGCTAGATTGGCACCTTATCAATGCACTAGTGGAGCAGTGACGTGTTGAGACGGGCACATTCCATCCCCCTATTGGTGAGGCCCATATTACACTTCAGGATACAACAATATTACTTGGTCTACCTGTAAATGAAAGTCTTGTATGTGGAGGGAACATCATTTACGATGTACATTAGTGGAGTGCCATGTGCACTAATTTGGGCGGCTTCACATCGAGAGTGGGATCCATAGGTAAATCAACACTTAGACTTAGTGTATTGGCCAATCATTTGGGGCATGCGAATCCAGCAAATGTGACTGATCATTTTGTTAGTTGTTACTCAAGAACCTACATGCTCTTTATTGATAAGGGGTTTTTGTTTGGGGATAAGTTGTCTAGCAAGGTAATGCTGATGTTTCTACCTCTACTTGTGGATCTTGATGTTGTAGGGAGGTTTAGTTGGGGTAGTGCAGCATTGGCATGGTTGTACATGAGATTTTTCTTGCTGCAACGCATGATGCCATGGACATCAGTGGTACACTTATTTTGATATAGGTAATGCATTACGTGTATTGATCATCTTTCTTAATTTGTTGTGTATTTAAGTGTGTCAACTTTACTACCGTTATATTATTAATGTAGTTGTGGGCATGGAAACAATTATTGCACATTGTTCTAGAGCGATTGGCCCCACAACAGTGGGCAGCCCATGGTGTAGCTGCCTTTCATGGCCATGAGGAAGGTGTGCCTACACATGGGGTTGGTGGTGCACTTGGAGATGTTGAACTTGCAACACATTTAAATGTTCATGGAGATGATGTCCCACAGAATTAGGATGCGCTACATGATGATCTACTTGGTTGCAGGTGGGTGACTTAGTACTAACGTTAAATAAGCGTAATATGTATTTGAGTTTCAATTATGATGGTCTTATTTTTTTGCAACTTTATAAATGAGATATGAAATTTTTAGAGCAACACACTCCAACCCATGTATTGCAACATTATCATGACCAACTAGACCAGATGAGAGATGATCAGGTATATCATGTGAATTTAGTGTTCATAATTTTAAAGTTTGTTGATTAAATGGATGTTGGGTACGTTATACCATTTGTGGATGGTTGGTGGGATGATTGCATGTTGTTATTATGGATGTTTAGTGGGATGATTTTGTTTTGTGATTATGGATGTAAGATGTGTTGTACATGTTTAAAATTTGGCATTGTCATATTTTTATAGGGAACCCAACCCAAATTTTTTAAAAATATTCAGAGTTTTTAATTTTATTTGAAGAAGGATGATGTTGCAGAACTAGGTAGTATGATTGTTTGCTGTGAGTATGCAAAAATTGGGACTATTGTGTATAGGTTAAAAATATGGCAAGGTCCTATTATTAGGGGAAACAATGACCATTTTTTTTAATATATGCATATTTTAAAAAATATTTTATGACTGTTGTGTTTTAGATGATATGGGAGCCATACACTGTTGATATCTTGAGTTGCCTACCTGCTTATTACCTCGATGGACAGGACATTTGGCGCACACGGTCTCCACTTATTTGTTTCTATATGGTGAGTGGAATTTCCCCAATTGTGTTGGGTGACAGTTTAGCCTCGTCCAAGCCATCTTAGAGGCCTGTGATACTAGTAGGGTGTTACATGACATAAATCATCTTGGCAGATTAGGTCGGGATTGGAATATTGTTCATCTAGCGTACATTAAGATGTGGGCTCATCATCAGGATCATCTTATAGATCCCATTGACGAGTACATGGTATGGTATAGGCGCATAACTCATCAACTGGTTGGCCACCTACTGGTAGGCCTCTTGTTGGTTTTCATCTTGTCGGCAAGATCATTGAGCTACTGGTAAGAATTTCACAATTGTTTTAATATTTTTTTAATAACAAGTCACAATCAATACTTATGTTAATGTTTATTAATATGCAATGATTTTTTTTTGTAAGAAGACATTCACAAGAATATACCACATCAGGATCTACCTATGAGGGCAGCCCATATCTGGCACTTTGCATGTAGACTATTGGACATATAAGAGATATAAGCTCTAGTTGTTTAACAATAATTCTCGAGCATCGATGACTTTGTGCATTTTCCATTCACACCACATGTTGTTCCTTCTACATCTTCATAGCCACCACTGCTTGCACATGTTGATGTTGCTTCTACATCTTCCCCACCACCACCTACAACTTCACCTGGATCGACACCTCATTGGCAGCTTCACCTACACCTATACCACCACTTGCACCGCTTGTTTCACCTGCACAGCCACTAGCACTGCTAACTACATATTCACTATCACACAAACCTATATCACCAGCTACGCATGCACCTCCATCTACAACTGTTGCTTCTACATCTTTATGATCTATGGCATATGTTGATGCATTGCCACCAGTAGTGTCAGAAGTTGTGACACCTCCAGTTGCATTGACACCATCAACTACACTTGCAGATGTTACAATTTGTATACCACTACCGCCTCATGTATCTATGGGATCATCACACACATACGACACCTTTTGATGAGCATCCTTTACTAAATCCTATGTTACATTAGGAGGGGTTGACACAAGAGGATACACTTATAGGTAGAGGTCATGGGAGAGTTGGACCAAAAATTTGAGGCGGACAATGGGGGCGGGGTCATGGACATCATTACGGCAATGTCACTGCATTACAAGTGACACAAGAGGGACTAAATGACATTAAGTATGAGTATTGGTGATAGTTGAAGTGACGCAAGCGACCACCTCCATATGAAACTTAGCTTTTTTTATCGTATTTTGGTAGTTGTACTGTATAGACATTCAAATTTTTAATAATTGTATATAATCATTACACGAATTTCAATTTTTATGTTTCATTATGTTGTCACAAAGAAAACCATTAATGTTTGCAACACATTTAAACCAACTTTAAGAAAATTTATAAACAAAACAAATAATACTAACTTTGAAGAAACACCTTTAATAGAAATATAAGAAACCAACATAATATAAACAAAACAATGCGAATATTGTTCACATGTTACAACACAATAGTAACATAACACTTATTAATGGTTCATGTGTCTATATCTTTGTCAGACATCTCGACATCAGAAATACATCCATCTTTCCCACTCAAGCAGAAGCTAAAATATGCTTCTTCTATCAACCCTTCTTCAGCATGGTCTCATGCGATCCAACAAAGGTTGTACCGATTTGGGTGGATTGCAATGTGATTGTTCTCAAATCGAAAATGAAACAATGTTTGCTTCAATTCTTGAGGAGTGTCAATTGGTATATCAATGCTAATTTGTCGAGACCTTTATATATTACAAGTGCACAAATCTTCACTTAGTTTTTTTCTTTTCCTCAAATGATATTGTCATTTAGCCATCATTATGCTTATGGCCTTACTTGAAAAATGTAAATAAGGAATCAATGAATAGAAGAACTCATCCTCTAACTCCTAATAATGACCTAGACTTTAAAACAATGTTAGCATACTATAATTCATGGTTTGAGATGAAGTGTGTACAATGAGGCATTTACACACATTGAATAAATAGTCACAATGAAACTACTTGTGGAATTATAGTTGCATGGCTTTTCAGTAAGTCACATGATGAAGTGACTAAGCCTTGATTCAATGAAATTGATGGTGAAGTGAAAAAACCTTGATTCAATGAAACCATTTGTTGAAGTGGTGCAACATGACTACACACAAGCGAAAGGACCTCAACACTATGCGAATATAGATGGCTAGGCTTTACAACAGACCATGTGCTGAAGTGAAAAACCAATAATTTTTCATAAAAATTGATGTGGCAAGGACATAATGAAGTGACTACACACTGCTGATATGGTTGAGCAACATGATGTAGTGATAAAGACACACTGCTGATATGGTTGAGCACTGTGATGCAGTGATGAATTGACTACGTACTGGTGAAAGGAACTCACACTTGTGCCACTATAGACTATTGAAAAATTAAAGCCTTCTAAATCTCTCTAAGATTTTACTATTTGAATTGACTTAACATTGTGGCTTGACAATACTACACACTAGTGATTTACCTCATTGTGTGAATATAGATTGGTGCAATTTTTAGCAAATCATGTGCTGAAGAAACCCAGATTTTTCATTAAAACTAATGCGGCGAGAACATATGTGTTACACTTATGAAATGACTACACACTGCTAATATGATTGAACAATGTGTTATTACTGAATATTGGCATAGCCGGCCTTCTCAGTCACTCTGTTGCCTAGCTTTTCAAAAAGCCATTTGATGAATTGACAAAGCCCTATTAGTGTACGAGCATCCATTGAAACTACCATATAAACACATTATACGTGGTTGATATCGCATATATTGAACATTATGTATACATCAAGAGGATCTATAGTTTATAACAATCGCAGACATCAATAGGTATGTTATTAAAAGAATGAAATGATGATTACAAGAGTGAGAGATTTTTAAATCCAAAAGAGTATTATGTGGGATTACGATGAGAGTGGGCATTTCATGCTAATGAATCAGACGGATTATGCACACAACTAAGAGAACTTGGCATACGGATGCCACATAGGCATTCAATAACTATGTAATGAAGAAATAGAAAAGACTAAGAATCAACAATTAAACATGTCTAATAAGAGAATAATAGGATGTTGGTGTGTAGCTATTGATATTATATGCTCCAACTAGCAACAAACATGGTGGGAACTAGATATGGAAGAGAGATGGCAGATGTTGAGCGAAATACTGTCTTGTCTAATGACCATTACCTATCAGATGATTATATGTCTGATGAAGATTAATAAGTGTAATCAGTGTCAATCTCTTATCTTTATAAGTAGTAATTAGTGTAAAGTAATCTCATAGCTTTGTTAGTGCAATCAGTGTATTGTTATATCACAACTTTAATAGTGTCAAGTCATGTCAGTACTTTATCAATGTTCAGTTATGTCACATCTTGGCAGTGTGAAGCCATTTCAAAATTCTTTATAATCGCATTGTAAACTTAAAATGCTCAACCAGACCTATATAAACCATCAGTCATATCTATCTTATATATAGAAAAAAAATGTTTAGGCGCACATCACATAGACATTCCAACCAAACCAACAAAGGTTCTTCATCAAGTAATGAACAACATAGTTCATCTTCAACTAACCAAGGTCAACATCGATTGACCAACCAACACTGTAGAACAAAGTTCATTCTGTTGGATCATATATAGATTATGTTGGTGTAATGTGGAATGGACGAAGGCGTGAGTTCTACAATGAGCCCATTAACACTTATAACCCATTAGGGCACATTGGCTATGTAATTATTGGGCCTATAACTTACAACCCGCCTTCAGGTGCTCATATTAAACCCATACTAAGGTGGTGAGAGTTATATGACAAACATTGTGAGCTTGAAGTATTATTGTCGTTGACAAAGACTATCGGTACCAAAGGCACATTCAACTAATACATACAACCCAAGAAATTAAAATAACCATGATGACATTGTGCATTAGATGCAACATTGTTTGATCATCTGCATTCAATTGAGTACTCAAATATTGAACATTTTGATCCTGACTATGTCTTTATTGAAATTTTAGAGGATCTGTTATTTGTTTCAAATCCTGAACTTTTTGATTTTTTAGATACAAGTGATGATGAGTCTGAAAAATTTCTTCCAACAAGTTTATGTATATGTGGTAAACCTCTATGTTGTTTTGAATATCAACCATGCTATTGAAACACTGTATTTTATGCAATTATGCATAAGTAGCATTTTTTCATAAAATTATTATTAATGGATATGAGCAAATGGTATGGTTTCTAAAATTTTGGGGGAGAAATGACATTGTTCGATAAACTTATGACATTGTTTTGGAATACACAATTTTTTTGTTGAAACGAAAATTGAAGACATGATGAATTTTATCACAATGTTATTTGTGATAAAATAATGCCAAATATAAATCGTCATATGGAATGATGTCTTTAAAGGTGTCATTGAAAATGATGTTTTTAAAGATAAAAATTCCATTAGGAAATTGTTTAAAAAAGTCCTTAAGATGTTATTCTAAATGACATCTTTAAACACGTCACTAGGAATGACAATTTGATGAGTTAACATATCAGAATTTGTTCAAGTTTGCCAACGTTAAAAGACGTCATTCCAAATAACGTTTTGAACCNATGATGAGAGTGGGCATTTTATGCTAATGAATCAGACGGATTATGCACACAACTAAGAGAACTTGGCATACGGATGCCACATAGGCATTCAATAACTATGTAACGAAGAAATAGAAAAGACTAAGAATCAACAATTAAACATGTCTAATAAGAGAATAATAGGATGTTGGTGTGTAGCTATTGATATTATATGCTCCAACTAGCAACAAACATGGTGGGAACTAGATATGGAAGAGAGATGGCAGATGTTGAGCGAAATACTGTCTTGTCTAATGACCATTACCTATCAGATGATTATATGTCTGATGAAGATTAATAAGTGTAATCAGTGTCAATCTCTTATCTTTATAAGTAGTAATTAGTGTAAAGTAATCTCATAGCTTTGTTAGTGCAATCAGTGTATTGTTATATCACAACTTTAATAGTGTCAAGTCATGTCAGTACTTTATCAATGTTCAGTTATGTCACATCTTGGCAGTGTGAAGCCATTTCAAAATTCTTTATAATCGCATTGTAAACTTAAAATGCTCAACCAGACCTATATAAACCATCAGTCATATCTATCTTATATATAGAAAAAAAATGTTTAGGCGCACATCACATAGACATTCCAACCAAACCAACAAAGGTTCTTCATCAAGTAATGAACAACATAGTTCATCTTCAACTAACCAAGGTCAACATCGATTGACCAACCAACACTGTAGAACAAAGTTCATTCTGTTGGATCATATATAGATTATGTTGGTGTAATGTGGAATGGACGAAGGCGTGAGTTCTACAATGAGCCCATTAACACTTATAACCCATTAGGGCACATTGGCTATGTAATTATTGGGCCTATAACTTACAATCCGCCTTCAGCTGCTCATATTAAACCCATACTAAGGTGGTGAGAGTTATATGACAAACATTGTGAGCTTGAAATATTATTGTCGTTGACAAAGACTATCGGTACCAAAGGCACATTCGACTAATACATACAACCCAAGAAATTAAAATAACCATGATGACATTGTGCATTAGATGCAACATTGTTTGATCATCTGCATTCAATTGAGTACTCAAATATTGAGCATTTTGATCCTGACTATGTCTTTATTGAAATTTTAGAGGATCTGTTATTTGTTTCAAATCCTGAACTTTTTGATTTTTTAGATACAAGTGATGATGAGTCTGAAAAATTTCTTCCAACAAGTTTATGTATATGTGGTAAACCTCTATGTTGTTTTGAATATCAACCATGCTATTGAAACACTGTATTTTATGCAATTATGCATAAGTAGCATTTTTTCATAAAATTATTATTAATGGATATGAGCAAATGGTATGGTTTCTAAAATTTTGGGGGAGAAATGACATTGTTCGATAAACTTATGACATTGTTTTGGAATACACAATTTTTTAGTTGAAACGAAAATTGAAGACATGATGAATTTTATCACAATGTTATTTGTGATAAAATAATGCCAAATATAAATCGTCATATGGAATGATGTCTTTAAAGGTGTCATTGAAAATGATGTTTTTAAAGATAAAAATTCCATTAGGAAATTGTTTAAAAAAGTCCTTAAGATGTTATTCTAAATGACATCTTTAAACACGTCACTAGGAATGACAATTTGATGAGTTAACATATCAGAATTTGTTCAAGTTTGCCAACGTTAAAAGACGTCATTCCAAATAACGTTTTGAACCATGAAAGCATTATTTGAAATTATGTTTTCAAAAAGTGATTGGGCTTGGAAAATAAGTTTAAAAGTGACTGGTTTTGAAAAATAAATTTTTGAGGGGAATGGGTTTGATGCAAAGCTCCGAGGAGATAACTAAAAAATGATAGATTAGATACTGAAAAAATGGTTAAATAGATTAATAAATAATAATAAGGTTTAGTAATAAGTAATAACGAAAATAAGAATTAATTAATCAACACATAATTTATTATTTAATTTAATTATAAATATAATTTAAATTTTTTATTAAAAAAATATTATTTAAATATATTCGTGTGCAATATACATCATGCATTGCTAATCTATATCTATATTTTACTTCTAAATGTCACTTGAGATGAAAAACTTTTGATTACTTAAAATGTTCCTAGATATATAAAAAAAAAGACAACAATACCCTTTTTAGTATGTTGTGTGGTCTTCCTAAGTGTTTTGTTACTTGTAAGTGTTGGTGCCAAATTTTTGATTTCTAATTATAACCTTACTTACTTGTATAATATCAGTAAAATACGTTATGTCCCTTCTTCTTTCTTCTAATGTCCTTCCATTCTTCTTGATGATGCACAAAAGTGGATTTATTTACAATCAACAGTCGAGTGTATAACTCCGAAAAATTAATGGAGTAATCAATAAAACAATTAATAACAGAAGGCAAAGAATGGGAGGTTGGATCGAGGTGGCCAAACTAGTGAAGGCGATAATGGTGGCCGGAGAACTTTATTAATACTGTAAAATGTGTGTGTGTGAGAAAGAGAGAGAGAGAGAGAGAGAGAGCAAATGTAAGCTCTTAGTAAAGGTTAGGTAGCTATGAGAGAGATATCCGTGTAAAGGGTCTATGTAGAGATGCCCTTTTCATGTGGAGATGGCTTACAATTTATAGGCATAGAGCCTTGGTTGAGGTGGTAGCGTGATTGGTAGGTTACTAGCTTTTTGGGGAGGGTATTTACAACTAGGATATGTATAATTAAAGATAGTGTTGATCTCTTAGAGTGATTATCTTGGTAATTACTCCCCACGTGGGCTAATCTTCCTGACTCCTTCAACTTTGAATTGGGCCAAATCCATAAGCTGGGCTTGATCTACTTTGTAGCTGATTTGGACTTATCTTATTAATTGGACCTGTCCTAGTTAGATCTGGGCGCATCATTTGCCCCCCCCCCCCCAATGCTCCAAGCCCTTGCAATGACAAGAGATTGAGGGAATAAATGAGCTCTTCTTCTAGGCAGACTAAGTACCTTGTTCCCCACAACATCATCTTCATCTCCCCTGTTTTGTTGCTGAACACCCATTGTGTTGTCACTAGATCAAAAAGAATTTCACTTCAAAACCCCCCATTTCCCATTTAGGGCCATTCACAGAGTTTCAAATATTCACATAAATAGATCTTGGAATCACTCTCATTCCTTAGTTTTCCATTGTATTTTAGGTTAGACTACACATTCCTTTTCACTCTTTAAATCACAGAGATCTTCCCAAAGGGGATGGAGATCAAGGGAAGTGGATCACATTCGAAACTGGGTTCTAGTGATCTCCCGACAAGATTTTACAGAGATTCATACCTATCCATGGCGACGCCCATCATTGGAGGCAAGGGTCAGCACCATGATGCAGCTCCAGAGGGCTGCCATGCCCAAACTCAAATGGAAAAGAGAGAAGGATGACGCCCTTGGCAGAAGCGACGCCAATCGCAAGCTAACAGGTGGTGCCAAGTGTGCTCCAAAAGGCAACACCAAAAAAGGATATGAAGGCGATGCCAGGCTATGCGATGCTGAGGCTTCCTAGGACCAGGGTGATACCACGACAGTTGGATCTGGCGATGGCATGACGAACGTTGGCAACAATTGTCTAGGCAGCCCCTTGGGCATGTTGGGCAACGCCAAAGAAGGCCAATAAGGCGGTCCCCATGTTGGCGGCACCGATGGTGCATGTATTCTTAGAGAAGGAAGAAGACAGCTTGTGGGAGGCGATGCTAGAGAAGATTGGGCAGGCGATTACCATGGCGCCGATGGACCTGGTGGCAACATCATCGCTAGATACTCCCTTCGCGAGATTAGCTGCGTGGGTGATGATGGGGGGCGAAAGTGCGTCGAGCTAAGCGATGCCACCAAAACGTTGGGCTACACCTTCAGTGGTTCATTTGGCAATAGGCAAGCTTCAAAAGACGGTGCCTCCAAGTGGACCTAGCCACTAGGCGACATCGACGGGCCGAAAAGATCCAGCGTGCGAATGATGCTAGGAAGTAGGTGGGGCAGAGCAGAAGTATCCAAGGCCATGGACGACACCCGAAGCAGAAGAAGTCAATGCGCTGGGACTGCTGGGGGGGAGGTAGCCACATGTCAGGTGGTGCCAAGCAAGTGTTGGTCACACCGGGCATCACTAGGGCCGCGCTGGGAATGCCGGGCGTGAGAGACAGCAAGCTAGACATAATTCGTGGCAAACAAGGTGATGTTAGTGGTGGCACTGAACTGGATTGTGGAAGGAAACAAGGTACCACCTTTCAACTAGGTAATGTAACCTTGTCAAAAATTTGTTTTTCTAATCTTGGCATCCTTCACTTTTATTGGCTTATCTTTTGTCAAATGCCCGAGCGGGTAGGGGCAATACGCCACATATGACACAAGCTTCGCACAAAGGCAAAGGATCTGCTAGAGGCGATAGATCAAAAGTATCCTCTATTTTTAGCTCAATTGACTGTGATGAGGATATCAACCACATTGTTTCTTTGTACCATATTCTTGTTACCATTATGTGTCATTGAGCTAAAGGGGATGAGTCAGCATGTTTTGACTCCTTTGGAGAGATTTTTTTTTATAAGGATGTCCTAGAGGCAGAGTTGAGGTTTCCAATGCTCGAACCCATCTGTTAGATTCTGGGACACCTATCACTGGCTCCAAGGAGGTTGACTCCCAACAGTTGGAAGGTGATTACGACATTCTTTTCTCTATGGCGATTGGTCCACGGTGTTGATGTTCCTCCGCCTTTTGAGGAGTTTTTGACTTCATACGTACTTCTAGATAATCCTTCTCCTCATCAAGGATGGTATCATTTTGCCTCAAGGCCGGGCAAGTTTATCCCAAGGCTTCCTTCAAATTGCCATAGCTAGAAATCCAAGTTCTTCTTTATTGGAGGTGAGTGGGCCGTTGAGGAAGATCGTGACATAGAGCCTTCGAGGTAGGACACTGCTCCAAGGACCAAGTTAAGAAAGGGTTTTTTTCCTTTGCTTTTACGTCTAGTTGTTATTGATAGAGTAGTATATTAAAAGCTTACTTTTTGTAGTGAAACTTGTTTTATTAATTAATAGAAGTTTGTTCTTTTCATTTTATTGAGAATCTATATGCGTAAAATGTTAGTATTGTATTTAATATATGGTATGCATGTGTGTCTTATATTTTACATTATAAATAATTTGGTGTGTAGAGTTCAGCTTATGTATAGAAGACTAGATTATTGAATTCTTGTATAATATGAGTATAGGTTCACAATCTTAGATGAAATTGGACACACAATCAATATGATTGTAGTGTAATATTCTAGCATAGTCTGTCTTGACTATAAGAGACTATTTGGTGTCTCGAATTATTGCACTAGTACACTTTGTGCATTGAACAGACTCATGTTAAAGTTATTATCTTTTATTGATTCAATAAGATAATAAATACCTTATGATTATTATGATTGTTTATGCTACTAATACCAAAATATTTAATTGTCACGTGAATATAATGTTTGTTTTCATCAAAGACTGGGATTCATATTGAGTCAATAAGCTCGTTAAATTAGGAGACAATGTTATTTATATGGTGAAAATTAATTATTAAAGGAAACCACGTCCGAGTATTTTAAATGGGTTGATGATGTCGTCTTAAGGAAGCTTATAAGTTTTGTTCATGTCAAACCCTGCAGGTAAATTTAATTATCTGACATGACTAATAAGTTGAGTGGTAAGGTCTCAAGGAATAAAGAAGTCAATTAAATATAATTGTCAATAATTTATTTAATAGATGGACATCTGTAATCTTAAAACTGGGGATATTATTAAGCATATAATAATAAGGAACTCGAATATAATTTTGAAATAAGGCTCAGGAGATCAATAATAAATTTTTAGTGGACTGACTTATTATTAATGGGTTGTAGAATATTTATTCTGGGTTGAATATGGGAATTCTAACCCCATTGAAAGCTCAGTCCTTATTTCTCCTAAGGGTTTCGGTCATAGCCTATATAGACATCTAGGCTCTCTAATTCAGCATCTATTCTTTACTCACGTTTTTTAGAGAGGCTGAAAGGGAGAGCATAATTTTGAAGGTTCTGGCATCCCACTATGCATCCGGACTCTGATGTTAGTGGATATACAATAGAAGACTGTGAGGTTCGTTGAGCTATCTTCCATGTTTGTTATTGGTAGAGGCTTTTTACACCTCCAATGTGTCGTCTTCCCCTCCTCCCAAGAGGGTGAAGACCAATGCCCCTAGTGCTTCTTGGAATTCTGACAAACATATTATATCCTAGGAAGATAGATCAAAGGGTGTGCCCCCATTCTTTCTCAACACACAACTCGTTCGAGTGTCGGGGTCAGTCTGGCTACTACTTCAGGGGCAGAGACTCTTGTGTGGCTGCCCACCAGGTCCAGAGTTCCACCTAGTCGCTCGACTTCTAATAATGACTCAGTGTCCATGCTGCGGGATGTAAATCTGGCCAAGGAGCGGCTTTGGGGGTTTTTGACCACTGCGGATATCAGAGAGGTCGACTCTCATAGTCTAGAGGACATTATTGACACCGCAATGGAGGGGTTTTCCATGGTATGGCTTTTACTCCATTTTGATTTCATACCCGCCCCTTTTTCTCATGTCTTACTTTTTTCGAATGCTCGTAGGTGGCTATTGCTTTTTCTTGCCTTTTTTCAAGGATGATGATGCTTGGAGAAGCATTCGGGGATCTGGCAAAAGAGAGATAGACACATGAGGCTACAGAAGAACAATTAGGGCTCGAGAGGTAGTCACAAAAGGCTGCCGAGGAGCAGTTGAGACAAGCCTAGGAGAGAGTTGTACCCCTTGAGACCGAGCTTTTAGCGTTCCACAAGAGGGTCACCAAGTTGGAGACTGATAGAGAGGTTGCCTGCATGAGAGTAGAGACAGAGTTACGGGTGTCCCGTGAGAGGGCCGTTGGAGCTGAGGCCGAGCTATGGATAGCACGGGAAAGGACTATGGTGGCAGAGGCTAACCTTCAAACAACCCTTGAGAGAGCTACCAGGGTAGAGACTCACTTCATTGATATGGAGAAGATGAGGGATTCTATTGAGAAGGCCATTGCAAAAGCCTTTATTGATATTTATGAGGAACTTAGGGGAAAGGTTTCAGCAACTTTTCCTGTCTTTAACCTTTCTAGCTTCGTCCCATATGAGGCACCAGAGACTGATGATGATGAGGAGAACTTTGATGGGAGTGGATTGGGGAACAATGAGTGATGTTAGGAATATGACACATTATGAACTTCTATGGAATGAAAGACAGTTTTTGAAAAAGAATATCTTGCAAAATTTTATTTCATAATTTGAAGTAGATAACAACAAAATTTGACTAAAACCACAAGAGATAGTTTAAATGATAGCTACTGACTTGTACATCCATTAATTTGCCCCCTATTATTGGTAATACCTCTTTAGGTGTTCTGCGATCCACAGATGGGCCAGGGCTTTCCCCTCATAGTTTTAAATTTTGTAGGTGTTTGATCTTACAACTTCTATAACCATGTAGTGTCCTTCCCAATTAGGATCTAACTTCACTTCTTGAGAGTCCTTGGTAGATATGATGACCTTTTTGAGGACTAGGTCCCTAGAAAAAAAGGAGTGAGGCTTCACCCTCAAGTTGTAGTACTTGATCATGCGACACTTGTACTCTGCATTCCTAAGCATTATCATCTCCCTCTCTTCCTCTACCTACTCGAGGTTAATGCAAAGACCTTCTTCATTAGTGGTAAGGTTATAGTGTTGGATCCTAAGGGAGTATACCTCAATCTTGACTAGTATGACCGCCTCTGTCCCATAGGCTAAGGAGAAAAGGGGTGTCTCCTGTAGGGCTTCTTGGAGTTGTTTGGTAAGCCTATAGTACTCTAGCGAGCTCGTCCACCTATCGCCCCTTGGTGCTTTCCAATCTAATTTTTAGGTTATGGAGGATTATTCTGATGGTGACATCTGTCTAATCGTTCATTTATGGATTGGTTGGGTTGAAGTGAGGTTGCTTGATCTGCAGTTTGCACAGAAACCGTTCAGGAGTTTGTTGTCAAACTACTTGGCGTTATCACTTACTATTGCATGAGGCATTCTAAAGTGGTAAATTATTCTCTTTCAGATGAAATCTTTCACATTTTGGTCTATTATCCTGGCTAAGGTCTCAGTCTTTGCCCATTTTGTAAAGTAGTCAATGGCTACTACCATAAATATGCCCAAGCCCCAACTCATTGGTAGGGCACCTAAGATGTCGATCCCCCACAAAGAGAAAGATCATGGGCTCAAGATGGTGGTGAGCTCTTTTAGTGGCTGTCTGGACACTGTTGCAAAGTGCTGACACTTGTCGCACTTCCTCACAAACTCACGGGTGCCTCTGGTCATGCTAGGCCAGTGAAAGCCTTGCCTTATTGCCTTGTGAGCTAGTTCACGCCCTCTTAAGTGGTTTTCACATATCCCCTCATGGATTTCTCTCATGGCATAATCGGCTTCCTCAGGGGAAAGGCAGTAGAGTAGGGGAAATGAGTAGCTTTTCTTATAGAGAATGTCTCGTAGGATGACGTACCTCGATGCTCTCATTCTTAACTTTTTGGCTTCCACCGGATTCTCTGGGAGAGCACATTTCTCTAGGTACACTCTAATAGGTGTCATCCAATTGGCTTCGGAGGATGCACAGTTAACATCATTCTCCTCTACCCTGAGCTTGCTTGGCTCAAACTGGTGGCCTGTCAATTCTGGCCCCATAAGTATGTTTGTAGATGCGAACTTGGTGAGGGCATCTGTTATGACGTTCTTCTCTCTAGGCACATGGTGAATTTGGAAATGGTTAAAATTTTTCAATAAAACTTGGACCACTGACAGGTATTTTT